TAGCACAATCCTAGTAGCACATATCAACCCCAATTCCCCCCACCTAGCGCTAATCCCCCTCCCAAATCCCCTCTCCTAGCACAAATCCACCCCCTCCTCCCAAATGGCCCTTCTAGCACAATTTCCCCCTCCTAGCACAAATGTTTCTCAATCCTGCCTCCTAACACATTCCCCCCAATTACCCTTCCCAGCAAAAATGGCCCCCACCCCTCCTCCACAAGCTCCCCTCCCCCAATCTTACATGAGGGAACAACAGGAGTAGTGGAGTAGCGAGGAGATAGGGGCTCTGTGTGTTATCCACCTCCTGTCATAACAGCAATCCTCCATACAGCAAGTTACATAGGATCGCTATTACATCTGACGGTACATGGCTTCATTACCCGCCCCCATCTCCTCCAAAGACTGCTCAACTCCTGGAAATGTGGATGGGGGTGGGTAATGAAGCTTTGTACCGTCGGGTGTAATAGCGATTCTATGTAACCTGCTGTATGGAGGAGCGTTGTTATGACAGGAGGGGGAGATCACAGAGAACCTGCATCTCCTCTTTTCTCTCTGCCGCTCCTGTCTGGACTGATTACTTTACAAAACTGCGGGATGGGGGGAAAGCTCAGTGGGCACGGAAATGTACATGGGAGGAGGGGCACCCAGCCTGGGGGGAGTACAATTGAAATCTGGGGGGGGCACAGCCCTCCCCAGCACCCACCTAGATCCGGCCATGCTTACAATCTGATTGTAAAAATCTCTGCAGACTGCCAACAACTAAGTAGAAAAAAATCAAATTGACTCTTCAGCTATGCTCTCATACTACATATGTACTGTAGCTGTTGGTAAATGTTACAGTGCAGAGATAGTTAGAGCGGCTGTTGGTCTCTAAAAAAAAAGAAAAGAAAGAAAATATAAAGCAGCATCTACAAATTCACCAGTCTTTGGGTCTCCGGCACCGGGATGTCTAGTGTGGGAAGCCAGCTGTGACTCCTTGCGTCTTCACAGCCAGCTTCCCGCTGTGCATGCTTGTGAATGGTCTCGCAGCCACTTGGGACCTGTGACGCGTCTTTCTCCCCATAAAAGTCTGAGAAAGCAAAAGCAGCTAGAAGCAGGTCAACAACAAGTCAGGGAGAAGTCAATTGCAGGCCAAATGCACCTGTCCAATTAACTCTGTTTCAGAATAGACTCAAACTGAAGCCCAAAAAGCACACTATCAACACAGGCACTTAAGATGGTCAACACACATTGCATTCAACCTGGGCAACCCCCATTATATTTCCTAACCTAAATGCATATTCATTGAAAAGACTGTTTAGACAGGTCCTTGCACTACATAGTTGTTGATAAATGGAGATTGTACAATAGGTTTGTAATGCATGTAGCTGTCTTTAATATGTCAGGAAATGATAAAATAGCAGAAAAACGTACAACCTCCTAGTCTATTCTAGAAGGATAGAGAAAGTAAAATAGACTTCAATAATTAAAAAAAATAATTAAGTTGAAATCTGTGTTTGATAAGCTAACAACTATGTAGTGCAAGGGTCTACCTGATGATGATAATACTCTGTGCCACCTGAATGTCACACAGCGGAACCTCCACTAAGCAGAAAGCAATGATTTGGATCTTTAGCAGTCCAATGCATCCCCTGCCCATTGCCCCAATAAAAAACATCCATGTTCTGCCGGAGACCTGGACTGGCTGCTCTGTACTGAGCAGAGCTCTGGCTCTCTACTACGTTGCTGACACCGGTATTTTAAGCATTGCTGAATCAAACAGTAGTGTTAACAATAAAAAGAAAAGAATCCCATATTTATTACTGTTAATGCAGCCTGACAACATTATCTTAATATTACATGAAATGTCAAGTTGTAAACAAGTAATTGTACAAGAAAATGTAATTTGATAATAAATAATAACATTTTCCAGATTTTACAAGAGTTTAGGTCGCTATAGGAGGAGCATAAGAAACAAAAACATTTTTATGAACAGGTGCCAAGATTGTGTAATGACATTGAATTAGGATAGTAAAATATTATTTTGTAATATCAAAGCTAAAGTGTATCTAAAGCAAAGGGGGGGCAAGGAGTGAAACTCAGGTTTGTAGCCCAGGGAACACCACAGCCTCCACCCATGCATCAGAGATGCAAGTTGTCCAAATGTCATCAAATGTTAACAAACGTATTGTTATACAAAAGTGGATTAAAATAATTCCCTTTGAAAAAATAAGGCGTTGTGCAAAAATACAATTTAAAACGTGTTTTGTCCAAATGGTTTTAATACAAAACTTATATATTTAACACATATAAAAAAGTAAAGCTTGGTTCATTCCCATGACATATATGTTCTAAAAACAGTGTGTAAACTGTAAAGATTCCAAAGACACAATTCCTAGATCAGCTGTGCTGTTGCTCTATTGCTCCCCAAACAACCTGCCCATCTCTGTACAGTTGATTTCAGAATTGAACTGGAACCTTCACATAGCCTTTTGCCCTCCAGCTTTAAAATGCAGAGGGCTCTAAATCTAAGCACCCTCTCTCTTTTCTAGAGAACTTCTTCAAAATTCCATATTATCAAAACATACACACCTAGTTCCATGCTGTTGCATAGTAAACCTTTGAGATATTCAATATATTTTTACAGAGTTTCAAAAATCTGCTCCATTATTTTTTAATAATGTACTGACTGGATGTCCTTTACTAATATACACAATTAAGAAACATTAAATAAACATTAAAATATAAAATATTATTGGGCCTCATTATGATGACTTCTCTAAATCAATCCACTTGTGCTCACCATGAATCACTAAAACGCATTTTAGCTAAATTGATTGATAAATTCAGTTAATTTAGTAATAAATATTTCAGGTAAAATATGTTTTTCATATAAATATCCACTGCATAATTATTAAATTAACAAGAATAGATTCAAGGTAGCATGTTTAAATTAGCATAGATAACACAGAACATGAAAAATAAACAAGTCTACAATCCTACCTGTGCAATGATATGTCAGAAACAATTTGGAGATTATACCAAAAAAAAGCATTTGCAAAGACATTTTATTGCATCGTCACCCAAATTATATCTACACTGTACTACATTACTCATATATATGTCCCTCCTTGTACCAGGGGGTTTGAAAGCATAACACCTCATGTCTCGCAAAGCTGAGGCTGAACAAAAGGGATATGAAAAAAGTAATCTTACCAATTTTGTTCAATTGTGCCTGTAAATGTTAAAACTTTACTCACTGCCACAGTGGTATGGTTCCTCCTACAGCTGCAATTGGAATGTTCAAGTAAATGCAATATTGTATATGACTACAGTTACCCCAGAGTAACAACATTTCCTATGGAGTACATTAAATGCTTCGGAAACCTCTACAAAACAAGGGAATACAAAAAGGACTACTTAACATGACCCTGTCACCACAGCATCACTTTAAAGCTGGCCGCAGACAGATCAAAATGTATTCAGTTCAGCAGGAACCAGTTGAATTATAACCAGTGTGTGTCCGTCCTCTTTGACAGAAGTCAATTGAAAGATCAATGTCTGCCAAACTGACTTTTGTTGATCAGTGGCTGCAGACGCTGATCAGTGTATTGTGACGGCACTGGTCCTGATGTCAAAATACACAATATCCCACTGGGGGGATTCATCCATCTACCTCATTTGTGTAGAGGAATCTGGTTGTTCTTTTTTCATTCAGCCTGCTGGCTGAATGAAAAAAAAAAAAAAAATACCCATTTATGACCAACTTTAGCCAGGAGGTCACCTGTAGAAGAAGTGTGAATATGCTTATTTTTCTAGGGGCCTATGTACCTATGTATTGAAGAGCCACTGCAAGTTATTCTACTTCCAGTTGTGCATAACACTTGCCCCCCCCGGCTAACATGGTTCCCTGCCAGCTTGTATGCTATTATATGATGTACAACATGGTGAGAAGAACCACAGCGATTGTTGAGGGAAGCAAGTATTTGAATTATCTGATGGTTAAAGCAGCATCTGAGCACCACAAATCAAAAATGCTGTTTAATTAATTTTTAATATAAAGAGCAAACTCCCCCATTCATCCATTTCTGTATACATTATTTAGCTGAAAAATCACTTTGAAAAACACCCCCCAGCATTTCTGGCCATGGCCATCTTGAGTAAGGGAAGATGATTCATGTAGTATTTACTTCCTGGAATACCCTCCTCCCCTCCTGAAGACTCCTGGGATGTATGCCATAATTTGCCTAGGCATGGAAAACAAGAAGGAACTGAAGAAATGTAGAAAAAAAAGTTTAAAACAAGTACATATGATATACTTTCCCATCTATTTGCTATTGCTAGCAGCACAAGAATTAAAAATAGCGTTAACTGAGAGGGTATAGTTCCACTTCAAATACTTGCAATGGCAGCACTTTTTTAAATACAAGAGCTGCCAGAAAGGTAAATATAAAAAGGCTTATTTTACAGGTGACCTCTGGTGACCTATAGTGACTGCGGTCATTTTAAGATGTTAACTATTCTACTTCACTATAATGATGCATAGCCTTAATAGCTTTTTGGGCCTCATTCAATTTTAATTCCTAAAGCTGAACTCCAAAGTTTTTTTTTTCAAAGTAGCCTGAGAAAGGCCTAGACACGATATACTGTATATCAGAGCAATGGCTATAACAGAGTGCTCTATCAATGAAGAAATATTACGGAAGGGAGAAAACTAATTTACCAAAGTGTCTTACCAATAATTGGAACATCACCATTATCTCCAAGCTGTACTGTAAACTTAAAACAGACAATATGACTGGTTCTTATGGAGCGCCACAAGTCTATATTCTTTCAGAAACTTTGAGGTCTAATTTATAAAAATAAAATCTCCCCCCCAGCTATGTGAAATAAATCACAGTGACTAAAGTTCCACCACTGAATACCATAAAGCATATCACAAACAAACATGAAAACATCTAAGTACTGTGGTCTTCATGGTCATTGTATTCTGAAAATCTCAATTCATGTAACCTTAAAAATTATTTTAGAAAGCGTTCAATGGTATTGCTGGGACAGTTGGTCTTGGCCTTCTTGGAAGCAGGATTCTGTTGGGTTGCACCTGGTCTGTGAAATCAAAAGAAAAAAAATGTAAGTAAACTACAACCCAAAATGTAAGTCCAGCAAACACTGTCCAGAGCAATACAGTAAACTGAGTGAAATGGTAACAACAATGATCTCTGCTGGTTTCAAGTCCCGTTCCAAGTACATCCTCAGACTTCACTAGCAGGTATATTCAAGATGTTTCCTAACTAACTCCAAAACAAATCTACATTATCTGAATACCACCTCTATCACTAAAAGGAAAGATCCACTTTTAAAAGAAAAACACAGAGATATCGTACCAACAACAACATCAGTAATGCAATGGTATATACACCGCCCAGGTTGGAGTAATCTTTCCTCAGAGTTTCTCTACTATAGTCCAGTACATTTGGAAGGAGAATGGGTACCAGTCAAAGATACGTGCTGAAAGGACGTAATGGACTAATTCGCAATTACTTTTTTCAAGCACACACTAATTTAATTTACTCATTTATTACAGGTATTTATATAGTACTGACAATTTACACAACTTTTTACATAATAAACATTCACTTCATTCCCTTCCCTCAAGGAGCTTACAATCTAGGGTCTGTATCCTATATTCATACATACAGTGAGGAACAGAAGTATTTGAACACCCTGCAATTTTGCAAGTTTTCTCCCACTTAGAAATCATGGAGGGGTCTGAAATTCACATTGTAGGTGCATTCCCACTCTGAGAGACAGAATTTAAAAAAAAAATTCAGGAAATCACATTGTATGATTTTTAAAGAATTTATTTGTCTTGCACTGATGAACATAAGTATTTGAACACCTGAGAAAATCAGTGTTAATATTTGGTACAGAAGCCTTTGTTTGCAATTACAGAGGTCAAACATTTCCTGTAGTTCTTGACCAGGTTTGCACACACTGCAACAGGGATTTTGGCCCACTCCTCCACACAGATCTCCTCTAGATCTGTCAGGTTTCGGGGCTGTCGCTGAGCAACGCGGAGTTTCAGCTCCCTCCAAAGATGGTCTATTGGATTTAGGTCTGGAGACTGGCTAGGCTACTCCAGAACCTTGATATGCTTCTTACGGAGCCACTCCTTGGTTATCCTGGCTGTGTGCTTCGGGTCGTTGTCATGTTGGAAGACCCAGCCACGACCCATCTTCAATGCTCTGACTGAGAGAAGGAGGTTGTTGCTCAAAATCTCACAATAAATGGCCCCATTCATCCTCTCCTTAATACAGTACAGTCGTCCTGTCCCCTTCCCAGAAAAGCACCCCCCAAAGCATGATGTTACCACCCCCATGCTTCACAGTAGGGATGGTGTTCTTGGGATGCAACTCATCCTTTTTCCTCCAAACACGACAAGTGAAGTTTAGACCAAAAAGTTCTACTTTGGTCTCATCTGACCACATGACTTTCTCTCATGCCTCCTCTGGATCATCCAGATGGTCATTGGAAAACTTCAGACGGGCCTGGACATGTGAGGACTTGAGCAGGGGAACCTTCCGTGCAATGCATGATTTTAAACCATGACGGCGTAGTGTTCTACCGACAGTGACCTTTGAAACTGTGGTGCCAGCTCTTTTCATGTCATTGACCAGCTCCTCCCTTGTAGTTCTGGGCTGATTCCTCACCTTTCTTATCATCAGTGATACCCCACGAGGTGAGATCTTGCATGGAGCCCCAGTCCGAGGGAGACTGACAGTCATCTTTAGCCTCTTCCATTTTCTATCAATTGCTCCAATTGATCTATTTTCACCAAGCTGCTTGGCAATTGCCCCGTAGCCCTTTCCAGCCTTCTGGAGGTCCACAATTTTGTCTTTGGTGTCTTTTGACAGCTCTTTAGTCTTGCCCATGGTAGTAGTTGGCGTCTGACTGACTGTGGGGTGGACAGGTGTCTTTAAAGAGCTCAGACAGGTGCTTCTAAGTTAGATTAATGAGTGGAGTAGAGGTGGACTTTTTTAAAGGCACAGTAACAGGTCTTTGAGAGCCAGAATTCTTGCTGTTTCTTAGGTGTTCAAATACTTATGTACAGCAGTGCAAGACAAATAAATTCTTTAAAAATCATACAATGTGATTTCCTGAAATTTTTTTTTAAAATTATGTCTCTTAGAGTGGGAATGCACCTACAATGTGAATTTCAGACCCCTTCATGATTTCTAAGTGGGAGAACTTGTAAAATCGCAGGGTGTTCAAATACTTCTGTTCCTCACTGTACATGTACTAGGGATAATTTAGAGAGAAGCCAATTAACCTAGTAGCTTGAATTTGGAGAGCGAGAGGAAGCTGGTCCATGCAAACACATGGGGAACATGCAAACTCCATGCAGATATTGTCCTGACTGAGATTCAAACCAGGCCCCCCTAATGCTGAAAGGCAGACGCATCTTAACTTCTTATGTGTCCAAACTGGAATTAAACTATTGATGGTTTATTGATGCAGATAGCAGGGGGGAGGCAATGCTGTGTTTTTATTTAGCTAGCTTTCCTAACTAACAGTAGCTGGGAACTTTGTGTGGAAATAAGCTTTTTGCCCTGCCTTTCACAAAAAGAAAACATACTAGTGCGGGGGTCTCCAAACTTTCCAAAGAAAGGGCCAGTTTACTGTCCTTCAGACTTTAGGGGGCCGGCTGTGGCCAGTGGGAGTAAACAATGCTCCATCTTTGGTATTAGGGGGAGAAATAGTTGGTGGCAGTGAGAGAAATAGTGCCCCATTGCTGGTGTCAGTGGAAGGATATATTCCCCATTATTAGTGTCAATAGAAGTAATAGTGCCCCATTGTTTGTGTCAGTGGCATGGCAGGAATTATGCCCCAATGTTGGTGTCAGCAGCAGGAAAAATGCCTCAAGGGTGGTTAAAGGCAAGCAAAGGGCCGCTGTTTGGAGACCACTGCACTAGGATATAAAGAGTAGAAGACTGATAAGTCTCAAATGGACATAAAAGTATATCTACAGTGCCTTGAAAAAGTATCCATACCCCTTGAAATTTTCCACATTTTGTCATGTTACAACCAAAAACGTAAATGTATTTTATTGGGATTTTATGTAATAGACCAACACAAAGTGGCACATAATTGTGAAGTGGAAGGAAAATGATGAATGGTTTTCACAATTTCTTACAAATAAATATCTGAAAAGTGTGGTGTGTGTTTGTATTCAGCCCCCTTTACTCTGATACCCCTAACTAAAATCTAGTGGAACCAATTGCCTTCAGAAGTAACGTAATTAGTAAATAGAGTCCACCTGTGTGTAATTTAATCTCAGTATAAATACAGCTGTTCTGTGAGTCCTCAGAGGTTTGTCAGAGAGCATTAGTGAACAAACAGCATCATGAAGGCCAAGGAACACACCCTAACATGTCAGGGATAAAGTTGTGGAAAAGTTTAAAGCAGGGTTAGCTTATAAAAAAAATATCCCAAGCTTTGAACATCTGATGGAGCACTGTTAAAGCCATCATCCAAAAATGGAAAGAGTATAGCACAACTGCAAATTTACCAACCCAGCAAGGAGAGCATTAAACAGACAAGCATCCAAGAGGCCCATGGTAACTCTGGAGAAGCTACAGAAATCCATAGCTCAGGTGGGAGAATCTGTCCGCAGGACAACTATTAGTTGTGCACTCCACAAATCTGGCCTTTATGGAAGAGTGGAAAGAAGAAAGCCATTGTTGAAAGAAAGGAATAAGAAGTCCTGTTTGCAGTTTCCGAGAACCCATGTGGGAGACACAGCAAACATGTGGAAGAAGGTGCTCTGGTCAGATGAGACCAAAATTGAATGTTTTGTGTGGTGGAAAACTAACACTGCACATAACTCTGAACACACCATCCCCACCATAAAACGCAGCAAACATGCAGGGACAGGACAGCTGGTCAGAGTTGATGGGAAGATGGATGGAGCCAAATACAGGGCAATCTTAGAAGAAAACCTGTTAGAGTCTACAAAAGACTTGAGACCGGGGGGCGGAGGTTCACTTTCCAGCAGGACAATGACCCTAAACATACAGCCAGAGCTACAATGGAATGGTTTAGATCAAAGCATATTTGTGTGTTAGAATGGCCCAGTCAAAGTCCAGACCTAAATCCAATTGAAAATCTGTGGCAAGACTTGAAAATTGCTGTTCACAGACACTCTCCATCCAATCTGACAGAGCTTGAGCTATTTTGCAAAGAAGAATAGGCAAAAATGTCCCTCTCTAGATGTGCAAAGCTGGTAGAGACATCCCCAAAAAGACTTGCAGCTGTAATTGCAGTGAAAGGTGGTTCTACAAAGTATTATCTCAGGGGGGCTGGATACAAATGCATGCCACATTTTTCACATATTTATTTGTAAAAAATTGTGAAAACCATTTATCATTTTCCTTCCACTTCACAATTATGTGCCACTTTGTGTTGGTCTATCACATAAAATCCCAATAAAATACATTTACGTTTTTGGCTGTAAAATGACAACATTTCAAGGGGTATGAATACTTTTTCAAGGCACTGTAACACCAAAACAAATGTTTGGATCATTTTGGATAGAGTGATGGGGGGTTACAACCTATGTCCATTTCTTTTTTACGGTTTCATTAGGGAGATTGCCCTTCACTTCCTGTCCTGTGGATTCAATAGGGAGTGAGTGATATTTTTCCGATGTGGGGGAAATCCCCTCCAGATTGGTGTCACAGGAACAAGAGTTCCTATTGAAAGATTTCAAATCTCCCTCACCTACTCTGTGTACAACTCAATATTTTTGTATTTTTGTATATGTAAACCCTCATCTTGTAAAACAACCCATTCAGTTTAAAACGGATATGAAAGGCAAAACATTTGTGTTTAGAGATACAAAAAAATTATAGATACCCTTTTTTTCAATGTTTTCTAGGTGATCACATACCCTCTAAGCTCCTTTTGCAGCTGAGAACAGAGAGGGAGGAAAAACAGCAGCACATTGAACTTCCCAATGAATGGGGGGGGGGGGGGGTACATTGTGCAGAAGTCTGATCATTGGAGGAGAGCACACCGACTTCCCTGAATAGCTACAGAACTGACCAGACTGTGCCCCCATGGCTAGTGTGGTCAGTTTTTAATAGGAAAACAGAGTGACTGGCAAGAACACCAGGTATTTCACACAGAGGAAGCAGCACAAAGAGAATAGGATACGTTTTCATACAAATACATGGTACAGCAGACACATATTAGGAATATGAAATGTTGGGTTTACGTATTCTTTAATCTCAGCTTTATTCTCAGTGACATTTGCCATCGGGGCAGCTACAGCGAGTGGATCTTCCTACAGAGAGCAATAAAAACCTCTAACCTATTATCACTCTATCCAAATTTAAAAAAAGGTATGTTTTGCCTTTTATTATACTTGAAACCTATGGATCTGTTCTTGGACTCAACTAAGGATATCTCATATCTATATGCATCCAACCGTCTCAAAAGCCATTTTGTGCTGTATCTTTTGTGTTGGGACAGCTACCTACTGAACAAATGATATATATATATGCAATATACCTATATACAGTATCTCATGTATGCATGAAATAAAAAAAAATAAAATATGCAACATACTGTAAAATTAAGGTGTATATATAGCCCACACTTTTTGTTTTTAGAGTAAGGAAGGGCTAGAACCCAGGTTATTTTAGGATGCTTTTGTCCTGCTGGGAAAATCTTTTTCCTTTATTTCTGGTCAAGGAGACCCAACAGGAAACAATAGAAAATCTCTCCAAAGTAAATGGAATTCCGAACGTAGACAACTGTCTCAGTAACAAGTGTCCCCATTGCAGGACCTTCCCTCACCTCTTGCTCTGTGGACAACGTAAAAGTTTTGGATTTTACTACACTGTCTTTCCCAGTGACAATGGTCACCTGTACAAATAGAGGCAAATCTCCCCAATGGGGACAGAGACAGAAAAAAAATAACAAAAAACAAAAACCTTGTATAGTGTCTAACACATTTCTACTCTATCCAAAATTAATTACTAAAAAAAAGCCTTTTATTATTTCTCCTAATGCTTTATCTGCCGAGCCAGCCACAGAGCGCAATACATTTTTTGTACTGCGGACAACACTCAAAAGAAAAATGCAAAAATTTATTTATTTATTATTTATTTTATTTATTTATTTATCGAGTTTATATAGCGCCAAAGGGTTTGCTCAGCGCTGTACAATAGAGGGGGGACAATACATGAAACAGTACAGTAACATCAAACAGCACACAAGGGGTAAGAGGGCCCTACTCTTTCGAGCTTACAATCTAGGAGGGAGGGGGTAGAGGTACAGGAGGAAATGGCTGTGGGGGATGGAGTGGAAGGAGGAGGGAAGGGCAGCGGCTGTTAGGTGAGGGTGGGGTAGGCTTCCCTGAAGAGGTGGGTTTTCAGGGAGCGCCTGAAGGTGAGGAGGGAAGGTGACAGTCTGATGGGTTGGGGTAGTGAGTTCCAGAGGATGGGGGAGGACCTGGAGAAGTCTTGCAGTCGTGCGTGGGAGGAGGAGACCAGGGAGCAAGATAGAAGGAGGTCCTGTGAAGAGCGAAGGGTACGGGTAGGGTGGTATCTGGGAATCAGGTCGGTGAGGTAGTTAGGGGCAGTGTTGTGAATGGCTTTATAGGTCAGAGTGAGCAGTTTGAATTTAATGCGTTGGGCAATGGGGAGCCAGTGGAGGGAGAGGCAGAGGGGGGTGGCAGAGGTGGAGCGGCTGGTGAGGTGGATGAGTCTGGCAGCTGAGTTCAGGATGGTCTGAAGCGGGGTGAGTTTGCACTGGGGTAGGCCGGTGAGGAGGGAGTTGCAGTAGTCAAGGCGTGAGATAATCAGGGAGTGAACGAGTAGTTTAGTGGTGTCTGGGGTAAGGAAGGAGCGTATCTTGGAGCGTACCAAATGATCTACATTACCATTTATTGGTTTACCAAACCAAATCCATCTGTGTAAACTATGTAGGCTGCCATCAGAGCCCAGCGATGACAAGCTTTCTATTTCTCACATGATGGTTGTAATTTGACTCACTTGACCCATGACATTGAGACATCTCTCAGAAAACACAGCGGTGTTTTTGTTTAGGTGTCTGGCACAACATACAATATCCCCCTGAGGAATGTATTTAAGGTAATACATACGGACAGGGAGTGCCTAGGAAGTGACAGCTCGCTGATAGACTTTATTCTTAAAAATTGTCCAGGTAAGGAGAAAAAAGTCAAGTTTAGCCACTTCCCGTCTGGCCTATGTATATAAATGGACGGACTCAGTCCTGGGGCGAGTGGCCGTTTATAAACGCCCTCCCCGCTTCCCTGCTTGTGCACGCTCCCTGGGAGCGCACAGCGGAACACCAATCGCTGTACGGGACCTCTGTGTGAGGTCTCCATCATGTGATCACTGATTGGCCAATTAGTGATCACATGAATAGTAGCAAGCAATATGTCACTTCTAACATCATTGCTTACTACGTGTGAAATCTGTGAATGATCACAGAGAACATATGGTACAAGGCTATTCACAACAGCCTTGTACCATGTGACAAGCTGTGACCAATCACAGCTCGCACAGGATTTCTCAATGGCTGCAAGAATGCAGCCAGAGAGAAGGAGAATTTATTGCTTTTACAGCCTTTATTGGTGTAAAAGCAATCAGTGTAAAAAAAAAAAAAATCATCGCCCCCCCCCCCACAAGTAGTACAGTGTCACTATGGTGACACTGTACTGCTGGGGTGACAGTATGTTAAAAAAAAAACTGAAAAAAACAAAATATAAAAAATAACATAAAAATGTAAAAATTATAATTTTTGGTTATAAATTAATTTGGGTTATTTTTTTTTTTTTTACTGAAAAAATAACTGAATACATTTTGGCCAAAATTTATGAAGAAAGATTATTTATTTGCAAAATTTTATAAGAAAAACACTTTTTTCAAAATTTGGGGACTTTTTCATTTATATAGCAAAAAAAAAAAAAAATAACTCCCAGTGGTTAATAAATACCACCAAAATAAAGTTTTATCTGTCTCAAAAAAATGCTAAAAAATTCATATGGGTACAGTGTTGCATGACCGCGCAATTGTCATTCAAAATGTGATAGCACTGAAAGCTGAAAATTGGCCTGGGCAGGAAGGGGGTAAAAGTGTCTGGAATTGAAGTCTAGAAGAATGCTAGATATGGATATTTTTACATAGTTATAGCTTGGACCAAGCCAACTATACATATGCAGTATCATGACTGTAGGATCCCCCTGGAAGCTGGAAATCACTGTAGTAGGCAGTATAACTCCAGATATCTCCACTCATTTTCGTGTCCTGTGCCAAGAACCTTCCCTGCTGCATTGTGAATACAGGATGACGCCTGCACAGCATGGGCGCCATTCAGGGAATGCTTTGCACTTTCTCAATGATTGCAAAGCATCCTCTAATATGACAAGGTGGTGAGCATGATGTCAATGACCTGCCTATCCACCTTGTCCAATGAGAGAACGTTCTGCATTCCTTGAGAAAATGCAAAGCGACCTCTGAATGGCGCCCATGCCATGTGGGTGACCTCCTGTGTTCAGTAAACAGCAGGCCAGCCCCTTGCACGGGACCTGAAAGCAAGTGGAGATCTTGAGAAGAAGTGCTTAGTACAGCTTTCAGGGGGATCCTACAGGTAGGGTATATACATAGTTACATTGATCCAAGCTGGATCAATGCATCTATTTAAAAATATCCAAACATGGAAATCATCTTTAAGGAAGGCAAGAACCAATATGGGCAGATGAAGAACTAAAATTCCAATATCCCCTACAGCATAGGGACTGAGGTTAAAACTCTATCACTGCATTCTTGAAAGTGAAAGAATTAATCTGATTGGTCCCCGAGGGCCACAGTTCTGTGTTTTCACATCTTCCGCAAGGAAACACCAATGTTATGTTGCTCTTAATATTCTACACATATCACATTTTTGGGAAATAGACATAAGCAATCAAAGCATTACCTCTTGGAACGTAATGTTGATTTATTGCTGGTGCTTCCTCTTCCTGTACTACCTGGTAAAAAAAAAAAAAAAGAAGGAACCCATAAATCCAATTTTGTCAGAAAAAAAAATAAACCTGTAATGTCTGATATTGCTCTATTTTCAAAAGCTTGAGTTCCCATCCATTAACATGTTATCAGATACAAATGAACATAGAAACCAAAATATGGAAAGGCAAGCAAGTAAAAATGTGAACCAATGAGGACTTGTTTTAAAAGGTGTTAAAGTTGAACTCCAGCCTTATTCCCAGTCATGCACAGTTGTATCCTTTTCTGTACTGAAATTGCTTACTTTGATTTCTCTGCACACTGCTGGAGCTTCTAATGCACAGTGTGCAATTGAAGCTGCAGCAAATTAGATAGAGCTAACCTCATTTCCTGGTTGAAGAAAATCCAAGCATGATTTAGCTCTTTGCTTCCCAACCCTAAGCAGGCCACACATGGGTCGAATTCCGAACCATTTTTTCGATCGAAAACATCGTTTGCTCTGTAATCCGATGGTGCCACCAATGATTTCGAAAATCGGTCGTTTTTCACAAGTTTTCCAGCATGCTCCATAAACGAAATGGGGAGGAACCACGAAAATCGGTGCCATTGCCCCACTAACAGAGCAAAAATCGGCTGATTATTCTTAGGTCAGATTTTCAAATGAAAAATCGACCCATGTATGGCCGGCCTTACTGTCCCTGGCCTGCCCCTTGCATGGACTGGTTTTCAGTTCTTCTAATCATGAAGGCCCAGGCTGTTATACGGTGGTCTGAATGCAACTGCGATCTGCCTAGAAATGCCAAGGCCAGTCATACATGGGTCAATTTTCAAACAAAAATTCAGAAAAGAATAATTGCCCAATTTTCGCTCTGTTAGTGGGGCAATGACACCGGCTGATTTTTGTGGTTCCTCCCCATTTCGTTTATCGGCCATGCTGGAAAATTTGTGAAAAACTACCAATTTTCGAAATCATTGGTGGCACCATTGGATTACAGAATGAACAATGTTTTCGATTTTCGATCGAAAAATCGTTCAGAATTCGACCCATGTATGGCCTGCTTTACTCCACCAGACTGGCCCCAACTCATCAATGCATTTTCATATTTGCAAACGTTGTCCCAAGAGCCAGCCCACTGCTTGTGTCAGGAGTTGATGGCTCTTGAGAGGAGTACTGAAGCAGGGTGCTTTGATGTTTTAGGAAGCCATGTACATCACCCTGCTGTCCTGCACGTATTATGGTGTATAGTGGGGCCTACCAGTGACAGGTTGCAGTATTCTTTAACTGAATTTTACGGCTGGATGTCAGCTGTATGACAAAAGACACTGCCCTGCAATATACAGCTTTTAATTTAAAAAAAAACCCTTCAGAGAAATAAGAGGCTGACATTGCTCGCCTTCTGAAAACACTATTTGATTGGCTGTATGCAGAGCCTCTGGCTTCAAAGGTTTTTTAAATTAATGACTTGGAAAATCAGAATAAATGAGAGGTTGTTCTCTGCATAATTGCTCTGGTTGAGTGCCTTCTCCCTGTGCAATTTGCAGGACAATCCTGTCAGTGGACGGACATGACCAGTTGCTGCAAATGAAGGAGCAGTTGATGCTTTTTTTCTGCCTCTGCCTGACCCTGCCCTACGGGTGGGAAAAAAGCCCCATGGATCAACAGTTGGACAGACTGTAATAGAAATAGGAGGATTATTATAACAACCAGGCAACTGGCATTTTCAAGAAGCAAAAGTAAGCAATGTCAGCCGTCAGATTTTTAAGTTCTGAATATTTCCTTCCATCTATAAATATTAATCAGCAGCTCTCATTAAAACCTCCCAGGGTCCTATTGCCATTGTGGCTAAAGGGTGTTTCTGGGAGTGGAAGATGAAGTCATGGGAGTCATACAGGAAGGTCATCCAAAGAAGCTAAAAATAAAAAACAAGTTGGTAGGCAGCTTGATGGCTTAGATGGGAGCAGGGGCAGACTGGCAACTCATGGGGCCCCTGGGCAATAGGGGATCATGGGGCCCGTGTCCTCGCACACACTCAAACCACACCCAAAAAAGCCTATGAAAGGTACCAGGGGCATCTCATTGGGCCCCCTACTAACCCCAGGCCCTCGGGCAGTGCCCAAGTGCCAGAATGGTCAGTCCACCCCAAGGTGGAAGTATCTTTGTTAGGTTCAAGTGCTATGGGTGAACAATATGCTCATTTTAAAATGCTGTTAATTTTTTTTTAAATGTATTATTCATTTTCCGTTTTCAGGTAAAACATCAAGAGAGGTACCATACCAAACAATGTACGATATACAAGAAATCCACACAAACTCCAACTATATTGTGAATACAAAACGTTACATGAATACACCCGATGTTCATTATGAAGTAGCCTCTCAAACATAGAAAGCCTAATTGCTGTACATTTAGTTCCTCTTTAGTGACAAAGGTACTGTCAGGAGCGGCTAGCGCTCCTGTGCCATCACAGTTACTGGACTCATTCCAGCATCCTGGTTTTGGCTGCGATACAATCTCCCTGTCTGCCTGCAAGGTGATTAATGTGGCGAATCTCTGGGTGGAGACCAAACCTGATTTAAGCCAGCCAAGCCTGCAGTCTCATGCTTGTGATATTGTGTTTGTACACAAGCTCCAAGCTCCCTGTTTGTCTGCCCTGCCTGCTAGTTTGGATTCCCTCGTTGATGACCTCGGATTGGATATTGACTGCTCTCTGAACTCTGCCTGCCTCTTGACTATGGATTTGACCCTGACTATTCTGAAGCTTGCCTGCCTTGTACCTGGACTGTCGTTGAACCACTCTGCCTGTCTGCCAACTGCAAGTACCTGTTTGCTGTGCTCAGTATGCACCTGCCCTGACGTGGTAGACAGACGCTATAATATTGTGTATAAGTCCTGCGGGGCAACCAAATACCAGTAGGCCTGCTTGCCTTATGGGAAAGGGGGCTGCTATAGGTGAAGGACACAGAAGCCAGCTATAGTGTCTGACCACCTGCGTTAGGGGCACGCGTGAAAGGTATCATTCCTTCATACAAAGTTATATTGTGATATTGACGGTGGCATAGGTGACATCCAGTGTAATGAAATGACGGAGCGAGTTGTACTGACTAGGTGTTTATAACCGATTTCTTGTAAGCTTTCAACTGTAATCAGACAACCACTGATTGATGCCCTGTCCTCTATGGAGGAGTAAAGAGATTGTTAAAGTGGTTGTAAACCTCACACATGAAATATGAACAAAGCATATCCCTCTATAGGATGTACTTTTGTCAATTCAGAGCACTAAGTGCCATTTCTCTCTCCATCCTTGTTGCTCTGCTATCTGCATGAATTACTTCTGATAAGCACACACAGCACAAAGCCTGTGATGGACAGCCTCAGCTCCGGCTTACAGCCTGTAATTGACAGTCTCAGCTCTGTTCCTGTGTGCTGTGTGAAGGGGGGGGGGGGGTGTCCCTTCCCACCAATCATCTCTCACTAAGCTCTGCAGACTGTAATTCAGTTCCCCGCCCCCTGATTTTTGAAAGCTCAGACAAGCTGTATAAATTCTGGATTTTAAAAAATGTAGAGAAGAGGAAATTTCGGATAAACAGGTACAACTTATGTAGGAGGATTTGCCTAATCTCTGTGTATCACCTGAGGCCAGTCACTTCACCTGGTATATGTAAGGGTTTACAACCACTTTAACTTAAGCAAGCCTGCCCAAAGATAAGGAGATGGCTTACTGACCAAGGACAAGAACAGCAATATTTTCCAGTTTTCAACTGTCCTACCGGAAATCTCTGAAGGTATTCCTCTACTCAGGAGCCATTTCATTTTTGGAAAACATAATGTTTGCAAATGCTGGTTATATCCACCTAAAAAAGAATGATACGAGAACTACCAATTCCACAGTTATAACAATCAATGCTTGAATAGGATGCATCATTTTCAAAGGTTGGGAGCTTTAACTGAAGTTATAAAAAACTTGAAAACTGCAAGTATATATATATATATATATACACACACACACACTATATTGCCAAAAGTATTGGGACTCCTGCCTTTACACGCACATGAACTTTATTGGCATCTCAGTCTTAGTCCGTAGGGTTCAATATTGAGTCGGCCCACCCTTTGCAGCTATAACAGCTTCAACTCTTCTGGGAAGGCTGTCCACAAGGTTTAGGAGTGTGTCTATGGGAATGTTTGACCATTCCTCCAGAAGTGCATTTGTGAGGTCAGGCACTGATGTTGGACGAGAAGGCCTGGCTCGCAGTCTCTGCTCGAATTCATTCCGAAGGTGTTCTATCGGCTTGAGGTTAGGACTCTGTGCAGGCCAGTCAAGTTCCTCTACCCCAAACTTGCTCATCCATGTCTTTATGGACCTTGCTTTGTGCACTGGTGCGCAGTCATGTTGAAACAGGAAGGGGAAATCCCCAAACTGTTCCCACAAAGTTGGGAACATGAAATTGTCCACAATGTCTTGAAATGTTGACATCACAGGCGGACTGACCATTTGGAAACTCGGGCACTGCCCGAGGGCCTGGGGTCAGTAGGGGGCCCCAGGAGATGCCCCTGGTACCTTTTTCATAGGCTTTTTTGAATTTGGGCAAGGACACAGGGTCCCCATGATCCCCTATGGCCCGGGGGCCCCATGAGTTGTCAGTTTGCCCCTGGTTGACACCTTAACAGTTCCCTTCACTGGAACTAAGGGGCCAAGCCCAACCCCTGAAACACAACCCCACACCATAATCCCCCCTCTACCAAACTTTACGCTTGGCACAATGCAGTCAGACAAGTACTGTTCTCCTGGCAACCGCAAAACCCAGACAAGTCCATTGGATTGCTAGACAGAGAAGTGTGATTCGTCACTCCAGAGAACACGTCTCCACTGCTCTAGAGTTTAGTGGCGGTGTGCTTTACACCACTGCATCCGACACTTTGCATTGCACTTGGTGATGTAATGCTTGGACGCAGCTGCTCGGCCATGGAAACCCATTCCATGAAGCTCTCTACACATTTTGTTGTGCTAATCTAAAGGCCACACCA